TCTCATTACTTCCTTTTCTAAACGCCTTGAAAATGGCCTCTGTCTCTTTAAGAACCATCTTCCACTTCTGTGTCTCGCCCATTTATTTTGGGGGGGGGGGGGGGGGGCTGCCATGACGCACTTGGCATCTGAAAATACATTTCCTCAAAGGTATTTTTAATCTGAAAAGAGCTTCACTGAGTGAGAACTAATGTTGAGAGCTCAGCAGACAGTTTAAGTTTCACTTTCACCAGAGAGCCTGCAGGAGTCATGGGCGAGGTGTGTGGGGAGGGGGGAGGAGGGTGCTCCACCATGAGGAAGTTTGGCTTAAAAGACACGTACCAGGGGCGTTTCTGGTCCCCACCTGTCATTTTCCTCCTCAGCATGGCTGCCTAAAAATGCTGCAGGATTTCTCAAACATGCATGAATGAGTCAAAGCAAGGCTTGGGGCATGTGTTTATGAGAGTATAACAATATAACATTATATAAAATTTTAAAAAGTTGATTTTACATGATATTGCCCCTTTAAGGTAAATGAAACCTTGTTTATTAAATGCTTTGAATATATTTCTAAAACTTGTTTATGTGAGAGTGGAACAGAGGAAACACAGCCGACATCAGCTGCATCAAAATGAATAAATGACAGCATTTGCTGAAATAAACGTGTTGCTGAATCTCTTTAATAAACGTCAGGCCCAGCAGATGACACGATAATTAAACAAACTTTAACATTGTTGAATTAAGTGTCGACTGTCCTCTGTGGATTGGGAAAGAATAAGGGTCTAATCTAGTATTTTTTACTTATTTTTAGATGGCAAATTTTTGCAGTTTTTGATCAGAAATCAGTTCTTCATACATTTATTAAATTTATTTATTTTTTCTTTGCATTAAAATATTACAGAATAAATATATTTATTTAATTTATTTATCAGCTTATCCATGAAAAAGAATAATAAAAAAAGACTTAACCTCAGCTTCACCTTTAAAAAAGTCTTTAAAACAAAATGACAAGTCCCCCCCCCCCCTTTGTGCCTGCTACAGGCCACACCCACCTCCACCTGCACCTGCACCTCCACCTCCACCACCACGGCACCACCCCTCACCAACACACACGCGCCCGCACTGGAGCCCAAATGCCCCCCCCCCGCCGTTTTAGTTAATTCCAGATAGTTTACAGACAGATTCAGTGGCACAAAAAGTTTTTTTTATTATTATTTCAGCATTCAGCCGGTGTTTCTCTTCATCTCTTCATATGAATCATAATTAACCATCAAACTCCTGGAGGAAGTGAGACTCACATGTCTTGCTGCGCATGCCTGATCAGGAAATCTTTGATCCACCCAGTGGGTCTAGTAAGCAAACCGTGAACATGCATTATTCCCAGATTATTTACACCTGACTTGAATGGACCTCCCTAATTGAGCGCGGCTTGGTGTTCGTGCAACTGATTACGGCTGTTTACAAGTAGAAGGCTAGTTCAACCTCGGTTTACAGCTCATATCCTGAATTTTGAAATCTGACTTTTGTGCAATAGGCCTCTGGGTTGCTTTTAAATGATGTTGCCTCTGCATCACAAGAAAACGAAGAAACAAAAGGAAATCTAAATGACATAAAGCTGCACACAAACGTACGTCTTGTTGTTGTAGGGTCGACTCTCGCAGATCTCTGGTGAGAGGTAGTACGGAGTCCCGACACAGGTCCAGACCAGCTCCATGGTGCTGCACAGTTTGGAACATCAACAGTCAGTCAGGCTGCAGCGGAAATAAAGTAACTCTGAAACCTGTCAGCTCATGTTTTATTCACAACATGGTTAAAAACATAGACAGACGGCAGCTTTTAATTTGGCAAATGTAATCAATTAGTTTGAGTTAAATCCTGATGCATGTAGCTAACTTACACTTTAAACTGAACTCTGTTGTTTGATCTGCAATATATAACTTCTTAAAACATTGCCTCTTTTTCTAAAACAAAATAAAATCTCTTCTTTGTTTGTTGTTTGGCATTTAACCTTGCTAAATTTATCATTTGTCTTTGCATTAATTGAGACTGTCTACACATTAATGGAAACTTGTATTTTTTTATTTTAGACAACATATTTATAACTTTTCACAACTTTTTACATTGTTCAGCTTAATAAAATTTTGTCTGCTTGCACAAAACTCAATTGCAGCTCCTGTGTTTTCCCAAAGTTTTTGGTGAGCTCCTCTTTTATGTTTTTTTTCTTCTGGAACCAGAAAACATAGACTAAGTTAACTCTTGCTACAGAGTTTAAAATCTGATGTTTTATCCTAAATCCGTAGAGATTAAAGTAGTTTCGTGCGCGTGCACAGCTTGTTGCAGCTCAACAGTATCAGCTGACTTCTGTCTCTGCAACCATGTGTTCAAACAGCCGTGGTCCACACAGAGTGGAATGATAATCTGTTGTTTGAAGGTCTTCAGTGTGTCACAGAGAAGTCAGTGACAGACAGCTGCTGTGTGTGTGTGTGTGTGTGTGTGTGTGTGTAACTAACTTACTTATTCAACATTCTTGCGATTCCAAAGTCTCCCAACTTTGCTTTCATCCCTCCACTGGTTAAGAAGATATTCTACAGTGGACAGAGAGTGGAAATGAAACTGTGTGTCTGAATACAGAGTTTATTCTTGGATTTTAAGGCTCAGGTACAGTGGGGTTCAAAGTGTTCACTGAAGTGTTGTTCTCTTTGGTTTGTTTGTTTGTTTGTTTGTTTGTTTGTTTGTTTGTTTGTTTGTTTGTTTGTTTGTTTGTTTGTTTGTTTGTTTGTTTGCTTGCTTGCTTGCTTTACTGCCTGATGGCTACTTATCATCACAGCTGAAAGATAAAAAAAACCTCTATAACACCCACAGAAGTCTAACACTCCTTTTTTACAAGTCATTAAATTAACATTGATGAGATGGTGATCCCTGTGATGGACTTGCGAACTGTCCAGGGTGTACCCCGCCCCTCGCACTGTGACTGCTGGAAATGGGCACCAGTGACCCACACGACCCTGAAAAGGAAGAAGCGTGTACAGAAAATGGATGGATGGATGGATGGTGACATTTTGTGCATTAAGGGTCATTATTACTTGCAGTCAGTGATGACGTGTGTTTAACCTCCAGCCAATTAGTAATTGTAGCATTTGACAGAAGGAAAGAGTTGTTTTTTCTTAAAGTATTAAATAAAAATACTCAAATAGATATAATTACACAGCCCTGAACATGGTGTGTAGACAGTAATCAGACTGTGGGAAGCTGAAATTTAAAGGTGCCTCAGAAGAAAAACCTGAAGGGTTAGCTAAGGGTTGTTATGGTGGTCCTCAAAGGGCCAGTTTGAATTAACTTTGATGTTTCATGTTAAACTTTGAATAAAAATAAAACATCCCATTCCTGAACGCCGATTATAAACACTGAGCTCTACGTGGTATTTTCTGCATAGAAACTGAGTTTTAACACATCTTCTCATAAACATTGAAAAGTACTACATGTGCAACTGACTAAATGTGAAATAAATAATTCAGAAATACTAATAAAAGTAAGAGAGTTTTACTTTATGTTGAGTTGTGGTGCATAGCAGTTTTCTTGAATTCTGAGCTCTCCCACTTTCTAACAGGGAATTTCCACTGGAGGGGCATTCCAGTTCAAATTTGCACTTTAAGTTGGAAATTCCCACTTAAAGTGCAACTTCCCACATCACGGTAAAACTGGGCTGCAGCAAAAGTAGCTTCTGAAAATGCAGCCAAATGGAAATTTTACATGGCAAATTTCACCGGCTGCCAGCTACAAGTCAGTTGGGTCAGGTGGGTCAGGTGGATCATACCTGAGCCTTGATGTCTCTGTGGAGAATCTTCCTGTCATGGATGTGTTTGAGGCCCATGCAGATCTGAATGAACCAGTCCACAATCTGGAAACATGAAGCTCAATTCAATTGACTTGATGTCTATGATTATTCAATCGTCTCTGAAGAATAAATCTCTAAAGTTCACAGATTTAAAACTAAAACATGAGTCTAATTTTACTGGTAGTGCTGGTGAAAACTGGTTTGAATCCATTATTTAGTTTAAAATGCTGACATGAAAGGCTGTGGGCGATATGCATTATTTCTCTGCATCTTCATCACGTTCATGCTTCTTTTATAAATACATACACCTAAACTTATCAACTGGGACTACAGATGTAAATTAGCTTTAGGCTAAATCTGGTGCAATGCATCAAATTATGCTTTAAGTGCACACTGTCCCGAAAAAATAAAATTATTCATTCATTCATTCATTCATTCATTCATTCATTCATTCATTCATTCATTCATTCATTCATTCATATTGTATTACTTTTCAGCATTTTGGTCAAAGTATTTAAACTAAACTCATTTAGTTTTAGCATTTAAAGCATGAACAGTTCCAGGTAACTGTGGTCTTACTGGATACCTGGTCCTCAGAAAAGGGAACTCCTCTCTGCATGCTGATCTTCTTCAGCAGATCTCCTCCATCACAGAACTCCATCACTATAAACAAGCTGCCCCTCTCTGCAGAAAACAGGAAACACCTGTAAACTGACAGGTAAAGCCATCGGTCAGCTCTAGACAGGGCTCAGACTCTCACCCTGGAATGATGTGATGAAGGAAACAATGTTTGGGTGATTCATCTTGGACAAAAGTGTCACTTCTTTCCCTGAAGCTTCTTTTTCTTTCACAGACATCTGAGCCACAAACACACTTCTATAACATCAACATAATTATGAACATCCTTCTATAGTTACTGGATGATTAATAAAACAATAATAATAGCAATAAAACACTTTCTTGCACCAATATTCTGATTTAAAATTTTACTTCCTGTTTTAAAAACGTAAAGTTCATTGAACAGTTTTTCTCCTGTTTGTTGTCCATCAGCAGTGTTAACAGTGGTACCTTCCTGAGGCTGATCTGCTTCACCACACACTGCCTGCCTCCACCCCTCTTGTCCAGGACCAGTAAGGCTCTCCCAAATGCACCCTCTCCAATCTGTCGCACAACCTCATAGTTGTTCATAACACCTCAACCTGCAACACAATAACTCACATCACACACATTTTAGTAGCTACAATAGAAATGTAGGTTACATGTTATTTGTTACTGTTGATATAGTTAAAGGTTATCCTTCATTTTGAGTCCTCTCACTGTGGCGACACCCTCAGGAGCGAGCAGCTGGAGGGCAGGAAGATGGGTAATGTGCAAATTTGTTGGTATAATTTGCGAACAGCTGCCACATACCACACGCATTTGTTTACTTACAAAAACAACCAAAGGGACAGAAAATTGATCGACACAGGTGATGTCCACAGAAGAGCTGTTTGGGATGAAAAAGTCTGACATAGTTGATGTGTTTGTATCTTTGCTTAGATTTTTTTGACTGAAGTCTGCAGATACGTGTCTGACTGATTCAGCCAAGTGTTTTGTTTACCCGTTTTAAAATATCCTAAACAGTGTGGTGCGGAAGTTTAGGCAGCCTTGTTAATTTTCCTGATTTACCTTTATAAATCATTGAATGTTTGTGTAAAATATATCAGTAAAATATATCATATAGGGGACAAACACAGTGATATTTGAGAAGTGAAATGAAGTTGATATGATTTACAGAAAGTGTGCAATAACTGGTTAAACAAAACTAGGCAGGTGCATAAATTTGGGCACCAAAAAGAAAAAAGCCTTAACTCAATATTTAGTGGATCCTCTTCGCGGAAAAAACAGCCTCTAAATGCTTCCTACAGCTTCTAATGAGAGTCTGGATTGTGGCTGAAGGTATTTTAGACCATTCTTCTTTACAAAACATCTCTAGTTCATTCAGGTTTGATGGTTTCCGAGCATGGACAGCTCTCTTTAAGTGACACCAAAGATTTTCAATAATATTCAGGTCTGTGGACTGAGATGGCCATTCCAGAATGTTATACTTGTTCCTCTGCATGAWTGTCTTAGTAGATTTTGAGCAGAGTTTAGGGTTGTTGCCTTGTTGGAAGATGTAGCCCCGGCTTCAGCAGCTTCAGCTTTGTCACTGATTCTTGGACATTGGTCTCCAGAATCTGCTGATATTGATTGGAATCCATACGTCCCTCAAATTTAACAAGATTCCCAGTCCCTGTACTGGCCACACAGCCCCACAGCATGATGGAACCACCACCAAATTTCACTGTAGGTAGCAGGTGTTTTTCTTGGAGTGCTGTATTCTTTTTCCTCTATGCATAATGGCCCTTGTTCTGCCCAAATAACTCTGTTTTAGTTTCATCAGTCCACAGCACCTTTTTCCAAAATGAAGCTGGCTTGTCCAAATGTGCTTTAGCAAACCTCAAGCAGCTCTGTTTGTGATGTGAGTGGAGAAAAGGCTTCCTCTGCATCACTCTCCCATACAGCATCTCCTTGTGTGAAGTGTGCTGAATAGTTGAACGATGCACAGTGACTCCATCAGCAGCAAGATGATGTTGTAGGTCTTTGGTGCTGGTCTGTGTGTTCATTCTGACTATTCTGAACATCTTTCACTTCTGTTTATTGGAGATCTTTCTTGGTCTGCCACTTCGATCCTTGACTTGAACTGTGCCTGTAGTCCTCCATTTTCTCACAATGTTTCTCACAGTGGAGACTGAAAGCTGAAATCTCTGAGATAGCTTTCTGTATCCTTCCCCTAAACCATGACGGTGAACAATCTTTGTTTTCAGATCATTTGAAAGTTGTTTTGAGACTCCCATGCTGCAACTCTTCAGAGAAGATGCAAAGAGGAGAAAAACTTACAAGTGACCCCCTTAAATACCCTTTCTCATAATTGGAGTCACTTTTATGGAGGCCAAGGGTCACTGCTCTTACCAAAGCAAATTTGAGTTCCAATAATTAGTTCTAAAGGTTTTGAAATGACAACAGTGCCCAATTGTATGCATCTGCCTAATTTTGTTTAACCARTTATTGCACACTTTCTGTGAATCATATAAACTTCATTTCACTTCTCAAATATCACTGTATTTGTCCCCTGTATGACATATTTAACTGATTTTTTTTATCCAAACAATCAATGATTTATAAAGGTACATCAGGAAAATTAACAAGGCTGCCCAAACTTTTGCACCCCACTGTATGCAGTGAACTCTTTTAGACTGCACCTTCTGATGTAGTTCAGCATAACATTTTTTATGTTTGATTTCATCGATAATTGTGAGAATCATTTTATAGAAAATGAAATGAAGAGGAAGAGAGAGATTATCTTATAAAGATAAATATGTTCTTGTATATCTGAACTTCCTTCCWTCCTTACATCCTGGGAACCAGTTTGTTATTTAATATAAAAAACATCTTTGCATTTTACTCTAGAGCAAAGTGAATGAGGAGGTTATGCATTGAAATTAATATATTTAAATAGATTTTATGAATAAATCAATATTGCGGTTATTTGTGCCGAGGAAACGTGTGTCAAAGTTAAGTGTATTTTTTATTTTTATTGAACACACCACATTACAAATAAAATTTCAGCAAATAAAATCTGACCCTTGTACCTGGTACGCCACAAAGACGTATTTGAGGATCAGTTCACCTGTCTGGGTTTGTTGTTGAGGTCCGGGAGCTGAGATTTGTTGTCTAACAACATCTAAGTCATCACAGAAGGACTAGATCTAGGCTTACTTTAGTTTTTGGCTCGGAGTTCAAAGAGGAGGGAGAGCCTCTGCTGTTAGACCCATAGGGCTTTTCTTTTTTAAGGTTAACTTTTGTTTCTTTTTGGGTTTTGTTTTATTTTGTTTTTTCTTTTCATTTTGACCTTTTGTTTTGATTTTATTTCTATTTTTCCCTTTATTCTTTTCTGATTTTTCCTATCTTTTCCTTTTCAGCGTTTCCATCAATCTCTTTTCAGTGCACAAAGACAGTTTTGTTTTAATGCCGTACTAATGAAGTTTGAGTTCTTGCCTTTTTGAACTCCGTGATTTTTTTTTTTATTGAAGGTGTTTTCTTTATTTTGATTTTTTGTTTTTATTAGCTTTTAGAGTCTCCATTACTTTTGAACTGATTTCATCATATTTGCATTTGTTCTTATCTTAGGTTTTGTGGTTTAATTTTTTGATTTTGGATTTTTCTTCATGTGAAATGTTTCTGGGTGGAATAAAATCTTCCTGAATGGGGTGGTTAGTCATTTTAACTGATTTTAATAACTTTATTTCTTCAATTATGTTAAGATTCATTGAAGTTTTGTGATCTCCATTTATCATTTGTTGTTTAACTTGTCTAAATCTGTTAACTTAGAAGTAAACGCCTATCGGCATCTTCTTTGATCTGCCTTGTCCTAATTTGCTTTACTTAAGGTTCATTTATTGACAAGTAGTTGTTGTTAAGTTAACACATTATCCAAGACAAGTTTCTGAGGGAACATACTCGGTTAACACTATGGCAGGACTTGTGTTGTGATACCTTGTCTGAGTTTTGGACTTTTAAGTTTTTTAAATTTTGACATGTTTTTTTCTTCTTCATCGATTCTTCTGATGTGTAATGAGTTGTATTTGTCTTTAAGCATTTTTCCTGTTGTATCTTGCATTATTTGAATGTATATGTTTTTAGTCATCATATAAATTGCACTGTTTTTCTTGTATTTGGTGTTTATTTTTGCATTGGTGTTCAGACGTTTAATAATCATTCCTTTTGATTTGGTTTGAGTATTGTTTACTCAAGAGGAGGGATTGTTATGGATTAATTATGTATATCTGTTTTGACACTGTCCAGTAACCATATCTTATGATAACTAGTTTCGGCTGTTTTACTCTGTTGCCATAGACTTCAAGACTCCAGCAATGCATGACCTCTCTTATTTTGATAAGGTAGWTCCTGGGCTGAGAGCCCTGTTATTGGTTAGGTGGTTACAGTTGTCGAACTGTGATTGGTTGTAAGCATGTTACAGGATGTTATCTGCTGCTCTGCGCTGATGCGGCAGCCACAACTTGACAGACTTCTCTGATTGACTTCTGCTCTGTTGYTGCTCAGATTAAATCATTTGACGACCATACACGCAGACTTTCTGTGCATTTATTCCAACGTGTTTCTGCATTCTTGGTAAATCTTGCCACCACAAAAGCAATACAATAAAAAATAAATAAACGTTCGAAGGAGTGGATAGAAGTATAAACTTATCAAAGCCCGCTACTTCTCCAGCAACTTCAAATAAATGATCTCATCCTATCCATAGGTATCATATCAGTTTAATGCACCTTCATTCCACTTTCAGCTTCCTGCTTCAGTAATATGCTAATAATAATAATAATAATAATAATAATAATAATAACAGCTCTAATATGGTATTAGAAAAATATGGTATTAGAAAAATAATAACATTGACGCTAACAATGATATGTAACAACAACAACAACAACACAATACATCAAGACAATTCCTTATATTTGGTGTGAACCATTTTCTTATACAAAAGTTTATATTGTTTAATGTTTGGACATTGTTTAAATTCCACATTCAAATTGTTCCACAGATATACAGTGGGGAGAACAAGTTATTGATACACTGTTGATTTTTCAGGTTTTCCCACTTGCAAAGGTTGTAGATGACTGTAATTT